TACAGGCATGAGCTACCATGCTGGGCCATTTTTTAAATTTTTTCAAAAGAAGTCTCATGCATCTATCAAGATATTTCCAAATAAAAGGAAGTTTTCAGTTTGACAAAGCTATAAAATACAAATAATCAATATAGAAACAACATGATGATAATAGTCATGTTAACATTTATAGACTACTTACTACATAACACTCACTTTGTTAGGTGCTTTTCATCATTTAATCCACAACAAATCATTAGATATTATCATCCTAATTTTACAGAAGAGAAAACAAAAACGCTTTGAGAGTTGCTTAATAACTTACCCAAATTTACATATGCTCATAATCATTTCAGCCTCTAATTTCAAAGATCCTGCCACCATCCTATAAGTAGTTCTTTAAAAAGGGATAATAACCCTCCAACACACAATCACACACACATACGAACACCCAGGTTCAGTTTTATCTGTCTCTCGTTATGGTCTGCTTGCTTTGAATATCTCAAAATTCAATCATATCAAGAAAGAAAGCTGGGAGCTGAAAGCTGAAAAAAATACTACCCACACTGAGTTGGTCATTGGTAATAAATAAATTAATCAATAAGGTGAAGAATAGGAAGAGTTTAAACAAGAAAGTTTTCAACATGTTATGCTTTAATTAATTGTGAATTGAAGTAATTCTTGGGAAAAAAGGACAGTATTTTTAGAAAAGCAATTAAATTTAGCCGATAGGTGTCACTGACACTAAGGTCATTTCAACAAAAAGGATTTTCAAAGTAACAGAAGCAGAATTTAGGCAGAAGCACCCAAGAGATGGCTTCAATAGAATCAAAGACCAATTTGCCCCCATGTTCAAGGAGAGGAACATATAGACTTCATTTCCCCCAAGATTCCGCTGGGATTGGATTCCTTTACTTAATTAACTACTCATCCATGATACTATCAAAAAAATGCTGACCCTACAGCTTTGTGCAGATAACATGCTATAGCGTCGACTACTCTATTCATTGGAATATCCATTTTCCTGCCTAATAGAGCTCAGAATTTGAACTTCCTTCACTTAAGCTGATATTCTACTTCCTGATTTATACTACAGCTATGTTTGTACTGAAAGGCGTGAAATATTAATATTTCTGTCCATGATCATACAGTCCAATGTAAGGAAAAATACAAGTAGAAAACTAAGAGGAAGAAAAAGTTATTTCACTGTCTTTCAAAGTAAAACAACTACAATTATGTGGGGAAAATATTACTTATAAAAATTAACTCAAAACATTTTTTATTTATAAAGAAAAATTGTTATCAATTGATTTACATAGTTACAACTGTCCTGTCTCACCAATGTGCAAACTTCCCTAGCATATTATAAGGTCCTCAAGGGCAGGGATTAGATTCAGAAACTTCACCTCTTACATTGGATGCCAAGGACTGAGGGTGGGTACATAGTGTTTGTGTTCCCCCACCGTCTACCTCCTGGCTGTGAATGAACTGAGAAGACAGGCTAATGATCATGATCAGTTTAGTCATGACAGATCCAGCACAGCACCCTGGCCATTCATGACAGATGGCTATTTAATATGAGTTGGACAACAGGGAAGTAATATCAGCGTTATCCAGTTATCTCCATGAACTACCAATTGAAACTAGATTTGACATATCCTCCCAATTGTTTAGTTTGTTTTCTTCCTTTGGAATAGCTACTACTTTAAAAGTTTAGGCATATGGTAATACTTAGCAAGAAGTAAATATTTAACCCAATCTCCACTAAGTAAAGCCCTTAACATTTTATATATAATCTGAAGACATCCTGGATGTCTATATATATATATATATATATACACACACACACATACACACACACATATACACATGCACATACATATAAATATCCATATATACATAAATATATATCTATGTAAGCTGGCACTGTGATATAGTGCTATTTTCTACATCGTAGCAGCAAATCAAGATTGCATACCAAGAGAAGGCATTTATCTTCCATCATTCCATCTGCTGAAACACATTAACTTTCCTCTCCCCATCTCCCTACCTCTTCAGTCATGTCTACCTTTATATGAAAAATACAGTAGCTACTTATTTTAAGGAGTACAGAATTTCAGTAAATATTCTTCTGCTCATTGTGCTTTCTCATTCCATTCCCATTGCAAAGCTTTTAAGTTGTTTGTCAAGTGTAAAGTCACTCTCCTACTTTTCATTGGAGAGATTAATTTGGTAAAAATAGAATCCCAAACTGCCATTGCTCTTTTAGTCATCTTAATTAATTGTAATTAGTTTTAAAATATTCAGTTCCTGATTTCCCATAAAACTGAGGGCATCACACACACGTGAGCTATCATTATTTCTTAATATAAGCATTTGTAATAGAAAGGTAACCATCCATTCTTTCCTGTGGTCTTTCATACTTTCAACCTTGATTAGTATGTGAGTGGCTGGTAAATAATTAATTTTAGAGTGAGTGACATATTTTGAAATCTACAAAGTATTTTATTCTGGGAATTTAAACCAACCCTTGCATTTCCCTAGATAGCTCTGTGTAACGCCTACAATTATAAGTTGAAGCAGATTCTTGACTTTCTCATTAGCATCTAACAATTTATGAGCTTTTGATATCCATGGGATGATTTTTAAATGATGACTTTAATTCCCCAATGCACCTAGATAACTAGAAAAATAATAGACAATAAGTGAATGCTTTAGCGAAGGAATTTAACTAGGAATTTAACTAAGAATTTAAAGATTCATCCAAGCTGAAAGTAATCAAAAAAAACTTTATGATGGTCCTGAACTGACTTCAATATTCTCTTTACATTTTTAAAGGAATGGAGCAGCTTCAAATAACTTATTTCATGTGTACTGTATAACTATCCTATTATGTAGTGATCATTATATACAATTTATAGATGAGAAAACTGAGGCTCATATATTTTAGTTGAATTGCAGAATTAGGAATTGGCAGTTGGAGTTCAATCCAGATTCAGCTGCCTTTAAAGCCACGTTCACAGTACCGCACCACCCCAGGCACAACGTGGGTCCTTGCTCTTCCAACATTTACAGCACCTTTCGGGTCTTATACCAAGTTTAAGCCTAAAAAACATATTCGGGGTTTGGTTATCTCATAGATTATACAAGTTATTTGGGTTCAATTTGTCACTGACCACACACTGGGTAGGCGGTGATAGGTCTGTAATATTAACCATAACTAAAGATAACATATTTTGGAAATTAAGTAATTTTAAAAATCAAATATAGAGAAACATGTATCAAGTAATAACTTTCCCATTAAGAATTTGGCTAACAATTATGATGGAAATCAAAAGTGTGTGTTTTTCTTAGCCAAAAATATTTATTTAGAGAAGGGTTTCACTCTGTACCCAGGCTAGAGTGCAGTGGTGTAATCATCACTCACGGCAGTTTCTAATACCTGAAGCTCAAGTGATCCTCCTGCCTCAGCCTCCCTCTGAGTAGCTGGAACTACAGGTGCATGCCATGATGTCCAGTTAATTTTTTTTTTTTTTAAAGAGAAGTAAGGTCTCACTCACTATGTTGCCCAGCCCAGCCTGGTCTAGAATTCTTGGCCTCAAGTGATCCTCCCACTAGAGCCTACCAAGTACTGGGATTACAGGCATGAGCCACTGCACTCAGCCACAAGTCTTTAATAAGATTCAATTGGTATCATCCATTGTCAAAGTATAAAATGTATACTTTCGTTTACTACTGCAACCAAAGGTGATTAAAGAGACAATCAATCATATGCCCTTTGCACATTCTATGTTAACAATCTTTCATTAAAAAACCAATTAATTACCAATTCATTGGAAGTTCTGAACTCCATGGAAATTGAGTATTTAAGCAACAAGTTTGGTGGAATCCCTATTCCAAATTATTTAGTAGAACTTGGTAAGTGAAAAGAATTAGAAAATAATTCTCCTTCTCAGAATTCAGATTATATAAATTCACTTGTAAAATTTTACATATTTAGAAAACACCTTTTATGGTCATTATTAGAAATTTAGCTAATTATACACTAGTTTCTATTGGGAGACAATAGAATTCTCTACCCTTGGTACCTTTTATCTCAGACTACTATTCAAGGATGTTTGTAAAGCAAGCAGCCTGGGAGGATAAAGATTATGTCTTCCTCCTCCAGGACACAGGATAATTTTGTTTCCTGGCAAGAGTTATAAACATAATGCCTTCCTCCAGGGCAAAGGTTGGGCAAGTGTGCCAGAAACAGTTTATAAGACTGGTTATTTCCTAAACTCTATGTTCCTCAGTTGTGACACAGACCCAACACCCAACAGGCATGAAGTAACCACCTGGGCCCCCTCTGCATTGCCCCCAAGGGAGTTTCCCCTCAAGGGGAACCAAGATGAGAGCTTGTAGCCCATGCTGCCTGATGTGCCTTTATGTGCATAAATAACATCCTTTATGTCTGATCCAGGAGTTTCGTGTCTTCTGCCAGCATGTATGAAACAGGCAGGCTAACTTGTTACCTCACAGGCAGGGTAAAATCTCAGATCCCTCACTGCTCTTGACAGCTCTGTATGATTGATTATTTAAATAAGTGTTTGCAGAAGTTGGCTAACTCCAAGGTACATTTTTACTCCTCCCTCCGAAGCCTAGAACTCACAGTTGTCACTTATGCTCATGCAATTAGGACAAAACTAAGGAATACCATCTTCATACATGAAATTCTTGGGATTGCCTGACGACTCTGCTGCTACTAAAATGAAGGAAGTGAAGACAAGCACAGGAGGCTTTTCCTTCTGGTGGTCACTGTTGGGTTATTAGAATCCTCATCTGTACACCAAAGACAAGCTATCCTTCTCATGCCCTGATTGATTACATGCTGTCACAGGCCAACCTGTACATCCCTGTCATCAATCACCCTCTCTCACAGAGGATACAGGAAGATTTCATGTCTCAATCATGCTCTCCAGTTTACCCCAGGGGGACAAAAGCCAGATGGATTCTTGGGGCACTGAGGTGATCGTACTCACTTTCCTTCCTCGCCTCATCATTTAGACATGTGGATAGTAATGGGCAACGTTTACAGAGCACGTCTCAATAATCGTTTTATCCTTCTCCCACACTAGAGATGCAGACAAGCAGAATTTCTATTTTCTCTTCACAGAGGCTCAATGAATTGAAGTGGCTTGATCCAGGCCCAGATCTGGTAACCAAGGAAGCAGAAGCTTCTGACCATTCCATGTTCTCTCTACTTCACAAAACCAAGGAGGCCAATAGATGGCCTCAGCACTCACTCTGGCCCTCTCAGAGGCTTCTTTGGCCACTCTCTAACGGGCCTCGTAAGGGGCAGGGAAGTGCAGTGGTTAGGGAGCACAATCAAGAGCTAGATTGTCTGAGATTTTAAGTCCTGTCTCATTCACTCATTAGCTAGTCACTCCTGGCTCAGTTACTTAGGCAATTTATTTAACCTTTGTGTGCCTTAGTTTCATCATCTGTAAAATGGGGAGAATAACAGTGCTTCTATTACAGGATTATTATAAAGATTGAATAAAATAAATAAATTACTGTATCTGACACCACCATTGCTACTGCTACAACTGCTTTGAGTCCCTTTTAGACACACCGATCCCTTTCTGGTTAGAAGTCCAATTTCTGATTGTCAGGCTTGGGTTAGGAATTCAGGTGAACTTCCCCAGGGTTTCCATATCCAACCCCACAAAACAGCAATCTAGGCTCACTCTGCCATAAGGAACCAAATTATCAAGAAGAGCGTGATAAGTTCCACAAATATTTCTTGCAGAATGAATAAATGACTTGGGAAGCCTCTCTGTTTTGCAATATATATTCTGGAAGAGAAATGAGGCTTTGGGCTTGACTATCCCTATACCCCCTTTGTGAGTAAATCCATGTGACAGGCAGAATGCTGACTACCACCAAACCCCCAAAGATGTCCAGGGTCTATCTCCTGGAACCCGTGAATATGTTACCTTGTATGGCAAAATAGATTCTGTAGATGTGATTACGATTAATGACCTGGAGATGGGAGATTATCCTGTATTATCCAAGTAAACTCAATCTAATCACATCAGTCCTTAAAAACGGAGAACCTTTTTCAGCTACAGAGAATCAGAGAGATGGCAGCATGAGAAGGTCTCGACCCACCATTTCTGGCTTTGAAGATGGAAAGGGATCACAACCAAGGAATGTGTGTGACCTGTAGAAACTGGAAAAGGCAAGAACATGGATCTCCCCCAAAGTCTCCATTAAGGAATGCAGCCATGCTGACACTTTGATTTGAGTCCAGGGAGAACTGTGTTAGACTTCTGACCTGCAGAACTGTTGAAACTATAAATCTGTGTTGTCTAAGCCACTGGGTTTGTGGTAATTTGTTAGGGCAACAATAGAAATCTCTGGATTCTTCCACTAGGGAAAGATCATAACCCAGTACTGGGACTATTCTGTAGGGTTAAGCAAGAGGACAGCACGTATTTACTCACCAATTCATTCATTGATTCATCTTTTTGATTCATACTGAGCACCTACCACAGCCCAGACACTGTTCTTTGGGCTACAGAAAACAACAGTGAACCAGAGAGCCATGGTCAGCTTCGGCAACCATGCAGCTTATAACCCAAAGCTGAGAGAGAGAGAGATTAAGCAAGCCAATTAATAAATTAGATAACTGCAAACAGTAGAAAGTGCTGTGAAGAAAATAAAATAAGATGATGAAATAGAGAACACACAGGGCAGAGCTAGAGAAACAGAAACCCCAGATTTGGGTGGATGGAAGGCTAAGAAATGACATTTGCCAGCCAAGCAAAGGTCCAAGTGAGTTCATAAGGCACTAACTCATGGCTGACCTAGCCTTCTTATGGATGCTGTAAGAGGTGAAATACCCGTTTTTGAGAAATTGATATGACTTCTCACTCCAAGGAAAAGTGCGCTGTGTGAATTGCTACTCTAATTTTCCTGTCTCCACTCTTCACAAGCGTGACTTTTAAGGCTTTATTTTTACCATATTTTATGAACAATGTGAAGGCAGCATTATCCCAGAGTCCCTGGATATCATTTTCAGTGAAAGCACTTGGTGTTCTCCTTATCTGAATATGGATGTGGTTAGATGCCCTGTGATGGCTACATTGCTGTTACTGTGATGGATTCCCCTGTGCTGGCTGCAGCCTGTATCAGCGACACTGGCTCCGAAACCAAATGCATTGCTCAGGGTTAGACCCAGACACAGTGCTAGAGCCTATGCAGACCACAGCTGGCTCCACTGCACATTTAATTATAACAAAAATGTCAAAGTGTGAAGGTGGCAAATAAGGTGTCACATCATGTAGGAATGATGGTCTCTGATATCCAAATCATATACACACAAAACAGGCCACTCAATTCATTTATTGTAGTGTCTTGCTCTAATATCTATGGGAAAATAGTACAAACAACTTCGATTTTTATTCAGGTTGTCATAGTGTCAATAATTACTTCTCATAATTACTCCTTTCATAGGTTGCCTGTAAAAGTAAAACTAGGACATCCAAGTGATCTGTCTCAACCCAGAGTTCCCAGATACACACAAACAACGCAGGGCAGCACAAATTACCTTCACACTCTGGTTAGTTTGTTCTATAGATGCCTTCCTGTGTGAGTAGGGGCTACCCCTGAGGCATAAAATGAATCCAGTTCTGGAGCTACTCTAACCGTTTCTAGTGTTGTATACATTAATATAATGACCTTACAAATAAGCAATATTTAGTAAGATGGCTTTTGTGTTGGGGGTGAGAGGTGCAGAGTTCACACTTTGATAATTCACTGATTCCAAGAATGGGGCTCAGGTTTTAAAGCCAGAGTATCTAGATTTGATTTACAACTTCATCATATAATAACTCTATGACCTTGAAGAAGACATTTCCTTGACATAGCATCAATCCTTTTTTCCTCTATGAATTGAGGTCAAAAGTAACACACACTCTGCCTGCTTCAGGGGGTTCTCACAAAATGAGAAAGACTTTGTAAACTATAGAACACAAGTGCAAACCAAAAGTCCCCCGGCCTCCCAGTGCTACAGATATGTTGTATTTAAGGCAACAGCCTAAGTCCCAATCCTCTGAGCTCCATGAATGGACTAACAAGTCTGAGCTTTTCCTGGGACCCTCTCCTCAGTTACTCCCTCCAGGATACCCTAACAGTCAGACTTACCACCTGCTGCCTGACAACCCTCCTCTCCTACTCTCTTCAACGTTTCCTCTGCTCCACATGCCTTCATCACTCTGCCATCCACCAGTCACCATCAACACCTCTGACAACATTCTCATGGAAGACAACTTCTTCTATAGCACAAAGAAGGGTGTGAAGAGGGAAGGGAAGGAACCTCAAGGCCTCACCATCAGAGAAGCCATTTCCACTCTTGCATCTTGCTTTTTCAAAACAGGGCTGCCCAAGTAACACCACTAGGTATCACTGACCAGTTCTTGGCAGGGGTTGGCAAACTTTACCAACAAAGGGCCAGATAGTAAATATTTTAGCTTTTGAAGACCACATCTGTCTCTGTAGCATATTCTTTTTGGCTTTTTTTTTTTCTTTTTACGACCCTTTAAAAATGTAAAAACAATCCAGAAGGCCATAGGCTGGATTTTCTTCAAGGGCCATAGTTCACTGACTCCTGCTTTATGACACAGCCATCGTTCATGCCATAGTATACTTGTATTTTGTGTGAGCAGGAGTCTGTTGTCAGTAGGGGGAATTGAGGGGAGGCTCATTAGGTCAAGGGAGGTACCTAGAACCACTGCTCCTTGGACTTTGAAACCAGCTACTCAGCTTGGCCGGGTGTGGTGGCTCACTCCTGTAATCCCAACACTTTGGGAGGCCAAGGCGGGTGGATCACCTGAGGTCAGGAGTTCGAGACCATCCTGGGTAACATGGTAAAGCCCCATCTCAACTAAAAATACAAAAATCAGCCGGGCGCGGTGGTGGGCACCTGTAATTCCAGTTACTTGGGAGGTAGAGGCAGGAGAATTTCTTGAACCTGGGAGGCGGAAGTTGTAGTTAGCTGAGATTGTACCACTATACTCCAGCCTGGGCAACAAGCGCAAGACTCGTCTCAAAAGCAAAACAAAACCGAACTCCTGTAGTTTGGTCTGGTCCACGTTAGCAGAGTCTGGTCTACGTTAGCAGATTTCGTCACTCATGGCTTTTGTTCAGGGACCCCATCACATCCCTCGATCCAGCCTCTTTTGGGGAATCCTAAACCATGAGAGAGATCAGTGTATGTCTGAATGCCAAAAATGAGTCAAGCTCCAGTTCTTACACTCAGAGCCCCTAAGTTCTATGTAAATCTAGCATGTGACTTCCATGTTTCTATGACAGTTAGAAGGTTGCTCCACCCACAGCAAATGGGACCTCTGTGGTTAGAGTTTCCAATGATACAATCAAGCCTAGGAAAAATGCATCTCTGAGCCAGTAAGAATATTTTATACATTTATTAGCTACTATGATTATTATCTAAAAAGGAAGAAGAGGAGGAAGAAGAGGAAGAAAAAGGAAGAGCGGGAGGGAAGGAGGAGAAGAGGAGCAGGGATGAAGAGGGAAGGGAAGCAGAATAAACTACTGCAGAAAATTTTGCCAGGATGCAATAATGATTACAAAATTATCCTCACCTAGTACTTTCTCCTTGTAATAAAAGACTTCACTTTGAGGCTGGGCATGTTGGCTCATGCCTGTAATCTCAGCACTTTGGGAGGCTGAGGCGGGCAGATCACTTGAGGTCAGGAGTTCAAGATCAGCCTGGCCAACATGTCAAAACCCTGTCTCTACTAAAAAATACAAAAATTAGCTGAGTGTGGTGGCAGGCACCTGTAATCCCAGCTACTCAGGAGGCTATGGCAGGAGAATCACTTGGACCCAGGAGGCGGAGGTTGCAGTGAGCTGAGAGCATGCCACTACACTCCACCCTGGGCAACATAGTGAGACTCTGTCAAAAAAAAAAAAAAAAAGAAAAAATCACGCCTGTAATCCTAGCACTTTGGGAGGCCAAGGCGGGCAGATCTCTTGAGGACAGGAGTTCAAGACCAACCTGACCAACATGGTGAAATCCCATCTCTACTGAAAAATACAAAAATTAGCCAGGGGTGGTGGTGCATGCCTATAATCCCAGTTACTCAGGAGGCTGAGGCAGGAGAATCACTTGAACCTGGGAGGCAGAGGTTGCAGTGAGCCAAGATCACGCCATTGCAGCCTGGGCAACAAGAGTGAAACTTCATCTCAAAAAAACAAACAAACAAAAACTTCACTTTGAATCTTTTTGATTGTCATATCTATTCTGTAAGTGAAGGCTTCTATAAGCCTATAAGGTACCCAGTTGCAAATTAGTAAATAATGCCTACTTGGCCCAAAAGTGAAACAGAAAATGATGCCTCTTCAGGTCTATGCCTGAGCTCCATTTCACTATCCACAGATCACTTTTTTGGAAGGAAAGGGAGTCAGGGGTGGAGGGGTAGA